TCTGCTTCTCCCTCTGACCCTCCTCCCTCTCATGCTCTCTGTCTCTCATTCTCTCTCTCTCTCTCAAATAAATAAATAAAATCTTCAAAAAAAAAACAAAAAACACAAAGCATGAGCCAGTGAGAACTACCAATAAATGTTTATTGCATCAAAAAGGCAATGCAGTATTTAGGTTGGTTTTTACATTCGATTTTTTTAAGTGAAAACATTATAAAGAAATAATATTCATTTTTCCTTTCCTTGACCCTAATTCTATACTATAGGTTATTTTGATAGGGTCTAATACAGGCCACCTTATATTTTACACTTTCTAAACTTAGTTTTCTCTCCTAGATCCTTGAAGACAGTATGATATTTTCTCTGGCCAGTTGTGTAATAACTGCAAAATGTAAGTATAATTGATTTCTTTTTGAGATAGATTATAAAATATACATGGCTAAAATAAAGGAAACATTGTTTGCAAGACCTCTTTATAATTTCCCTTCTCTTTTCTTTTTTATTCTTGTTTGAAAGGCTTGATTCACACAGCTACCGTTTTTTTTTATCTTAACCCCAGGTGCTCTATGCCACCTCTGAACATTGCCATAAATTTCTTGACACGGTTTATGGATTGTGAATTCTAGTTAGTGCCTTTAAAATGAACTGTTATTGACACCTTTCCAACCAGAGCAGTGAGCTTTTCAATTTCCTGCTGCGGCTTTTCACTTTGACTCCAATCCAGTTTGCTATTATTAAGGTCTACCAACAGAGGATATAGGCCACAGAAATCACGATTTAAAAGAACTCCTCTCTTGGTGGAATCGAAGGTGATTTTTATTTAAAATTCTAAAATGTGTGATATGTTTCTAAGTTTCCTTACTGCTTTTTAGTTTAGCAGAGTACCATTCATTCATACGGTATTTATAAAAACTTGTGTATGTTTATAAAAATATACTAATATAAAATGCTAAAGGAAGTATCAAAACATCAGTTTGAAATAGAAGAAATTTATGATCATTTGAAGGATTTCATTTACAACTCTTTCTGTTTAAAAACAGCGATTAAAAATGTAAAACTTCCCATAAGTTTTTCTTCTTTATAAAATTTTTGACATCTAGAGATGTCCAGGTATTATAGGTTAAATGGGATCTGGGTGTGTATGTGTCAAAAATAATGTATTGAACTTCTTTAAAGAGTGCTTACCTTGTTTTTTTAAAAATTTACTACATTATTAAACTATATCTTTGCTAAAGACCTTCAGAAAATCTGAAGCAGTTGTGCTCTGGATACAGAGCAAAAAAGTGACCATTTCCAAAGTTGGTTTAATATTTTAATATTATTGCAGCTTTTAGGGAGGATTTCAGACTATCACTGTTTCTTTGCATATGGGTTAGTTATTTTTTAAGGTACCTCTGAATTTTTTTGAGAGTCAAGATAGGCAGGAAACTTTAATCCTCTGCTACTTATTAGCCTTGAGCAAGATAGTTGCCTCTGCATTTTTTTCCTTTTCTAAAATAACAGTTTAGGTCTAGATGACCTCCAAGGTATTCTCAAATCTGCAGTTGTGTCTTTGGTTCAGTATCATGATTAAAGAACGTTCATGACTTAAAATACTTTTTTTAAGCTATGCTCAGTCATACTTCAGAGTTCTACAAAAGAACCAATGTTTGAGATTATTAAACCATATAGTTATGTTAATTTTAAGTGATAATATGGTGAAGCAGGGTTTATGAGTGCCTACTGTGTGCATATCCTTGTAGTAAATCTTTCAATATTGTATATTACTGTATTTTGTAATATTACAAACATGTACATATTGTACACTGTCTGCACAAGTTTTCATATCACTTGTGAAGCAGAAATTCTATAGTTCATTCAAAAGCCCTAATAAAGAAGTATACGTAGGAAAAACTTAAGGACAGGCAGTTATTTGTGTGCCTTTTTATAAACTCTGAATATGAATAAATTATAAAAAAAAGTTGAGTACCAGGTAGGTATTAATTTTATTGATAATACCATTTAGTACAGAAAATGAATTATGTCCTTTCTAGGCATAAGAATTGGATACGTGAATTAGGCAAACATTAAAAAAAAGTAACTGAGACAAATTTAAGTCAGCCCTTAGCTCAAGAAGGAGATCATTAATAAGTAGAAGTAGAAATTACTAAATACGTTTTTAAAAGTGGTTGACACAGAAGAAAGTAGTATAGATAGAGTCATCTCAAGCATAATCTAGGGTAAGAGGTACTAGTATCTGGAAGGTATCTGGATAGTTCCATTCTTTGAATAATTATAATCCCAGTGGATTTCTACATGAAATATAAACTTCTCTTATTCTCTCTGTTTTATGTTCATCATGTAATTTTCTTACCTTTTCATTTCCTCAGTGAGTATAATCTATAAGCCATTTTAAGCAAAAGTAAGCCTGTAAGTTCAGTGATCTTCCAATCTTGGTGTTCATCAAAATAATTGTGGTATTTGTTGGAAGTACAGATGCCTGGACTCCACCCTAAACCTATTGAATCAGAGTCTGTGAATGTGGGGTTGTGCCATCAACCAATTCCCAGGTGATTTTAGAGAACTATTGTCCTAAGCAATAACCAATACCAATTCCTAAACCAGTGTATCTACCATTACAAGTAAAAATTTAGAATATTGATTTATAGGTAAAATCTCCTGCTACTCTGATTTGTATGAATCATTTCATTAGGTCTCCTGAAGGAACTAATAAATCAGTATTTTTATTACACACGGTTGGGTGAACTAGACAATCCATTACAGTTACCAACATTTAACACTCCTTCAGATAATGAAGTTTATTTATTATCATTACTATTTTACCGAAAATAAAATGCATTTTTGTCTTCAGTTACTTGCCAGTTTTAAGAAAGCAATTGCAGATCTCTTTAGGAGTATTCTATAAATATTCATGTTATGTTCAATGAGGTACAAATCCTGTGAATAATCGTGGTATTTTTTTGGTAGCATTTATGTGTCTTCCATATCAGAAGAGAAGGAAAACACAAGAAAAAAATAGTATGTTTTATCTTATTCTGCACCCAAACTATCAATTAGCTATTTTCATTGTTATGAATGTAAATTTTTACTTAGTGTGCACCTGGGCAATCTGTTTTTTAACCACCTCTGAAGAGGTTCAGAAAAAACTTTATGAAGAGATAGACCAAGTTTTGGGGAAGGATCCTATTACTCCAGAGAAAATCGAGCAGCTCAGGTAAGAATACAATAAAAAGAAGAGGATATCATTAACAGGTAAATTTGAGTTGGTTTAACTATCTTATTTAAAGCTAATGATAATATCTAGGAAAGGTACATATTTTTAAAGGACTTAAAATGTTTACATACAGATTTTATTAGATAATTTAATTTGCTCCTTAAAATCATAAGGTAGGGGGCGCCTGGGTGGCTCAGTCGTTAAGCGTCTGCCTTCGGCTCAGGTCGTGATCCCCGGGTCCTGGGATCGAGCCCCGCATCGGGCTCCCTGCTTGGCGGGAAACCTGCTTCTCCCTCTCCCACTCCCCCTGCTTGTGTTCCCTCTCTCTCTGTGTCTCTCTCTGTCAAATAAATAAAATCTTTAAATAAATAAATAAATAAATAAAATCATAAGGTAGTTGGTTAAGCATCTGCCTTTGGCTCAGGTTGGGATGGGGCCCCTCATCGGGCTCCTTGCTTAGTGGGGAACCTGCTTCTCCCTCTCCATCTGCCATTCCCCCTGCTTGTACTCTCTCTCTGTGTCAGATAAATAAGTAAAATAATAAGGTAGTTTTGGGAAACCTTTACATTAGACTATATAAAATAGTATCAGTGATGTTCAAGTAAGTAAAGCACTCATATCTTGTTGATGGAAATGCAAAATTGTACAGATCTGTTGGAAAACAGTGTGGCAGCTAAACATACACTTACCATACAACCCAGAAATTCTCCAAGGTATTTACCCAAGAGAAGTGAAAAAATATGTCCACACAGAGACCTTTATGCAAATGTTCATAGCAATATTATTCATGATAGCAAAAAGCTGGAAACAGCCCAGATGTTCATCAGAGTGAATAGATAAACCAGTTGTGTTATATCTGTACCATGGAATATTATCAAGTGGTAAAAGATAATATCTTATCAATATATACAACAATGTGGTTAAATGTCATTATGTTAAGTGAAAGAAGTCAAACACAAAGACTGCATACAATATAATTTCCTTAAGGTGAAATTCTAGAAGAGGCAAAACTGTTGTGGTAGAAAGGGGATCAGTGGTTGTCTGGGGCCAGGAATGGGGAGGGGATCAACTAGCAGGGGGAATGAGAAAAGTTTTTAGGGTGAGGGAACTGTTCTGTATCTTGATGGTGGTTGTGGTAACACAATTATACACAATTACTAAAATTCATCACATTATACAAGTAAAATAGATGAATTTTTATATGTAGATAATAACCTTAATTAAAAAGATTTTTTTCTCTTTATTTTTTTAAAGATTTTATTGATTTATTTGAACAGAGAGAGAAAGAGAGAGCAGTGGAGGGAGAGGGAGAAGCAGATTCCCTGCTGAGCAGGGAGCCTGATGCAGGACTTGATCCCAGGACCCCGGGATCATGACATGAGCCAGACGCTTAACCGACTGAGCCACCCAGGCACTCTAAAAGGATTTTTTAAAATAACAACTGTGACTGCTTAGGGTGTTGGAAATCTGAGCCTGGACAGCAGGCAACCAACCCTACTTTGGAGCCTCTTTTAATTATAGAAAAGAAGATAAGGAGACTTCTGTTACAAATTCTTCAAAATCTTGGAAGTTTTGTTTATTACCTTGAATATAACTATTTTTCATTTTAGAAGTAATACCTGTTCTTTGAAGTTTTTATAATACAGAAGTGTATGAAGTAGAAGGTGAAGGTTTTTTGTAAATATATCCTAAAGAGATGACAGTTGTTAACTATCTTTACTATTTTTCCAGATTTTTTCTATGCCTATATACATATATATTCAAAGTAAAAAATTTCAAATGTTCTAAAATATAAAAAAAATATAATTCTTCTGTAAATTCCATCTTTTCTCTAAATATTTTGTGGACAGTATTCTTATATGTATAACTCTACTACACTCAGTGATTAAGTTCTATTGATTTGACTTTCCAAATAACTTTTAGTTGGAAGTTTGTTGTTGTTGTTGTTGTTGTTTTTAAAGATTTTATTTATCTGTCAGAGAAAGAGAGAGAGAGAGGGCACAAGCAGGGGGAGAGGCAGGCAGAGGGAGAAGCAGGCTCCCCGCTGTGCAGGGAGCCTGATGCAGGACTCGATCCCAGGACCCTGGGATCATGACCTGAGCCGAAGGCAGATGCTTAAACGACTGAGCCACCCAGGCGTCCCTGGAAGTTTAATTTTAGTTCTTTTTATTGTCCCCACTATTCAGACCATCAGCTTGCCTGGGATATTTCAGCAGCCTTGGATCTTGCAGCCTTCTAATCCAGTCTTCAAATTGCTACTGGAGCCTGTGACTGCACACAGTAAACACTTTGGGTGTTTTAACCATAAAGATAACCGAGGACCAATTCCAAATCAACAGTCTTTGGGCATCAGAAGTTTTCAAAAGCTTCATAGATGATTCCAATATGCTCTAATTCTAATGTTGAGAATCACTGTACTAGTAATCTTTCTATACCTGAGGAGTCAACATCTGGGCAGATGACTCCCCAATTTAAAATCTTTCAGTGATCTCTGGTTGCCCTTAAGATAAAATTTAAACTCATCAACATGGCTTAGGAGGCATTTCAAGAGCTGGGCCTTATATTCCTTTCCCACCTTATCTCTTGTTACTTGTGCCTCTTCATACCTTAGTTTTAGCTATACTGAAATTCTTTTGTTTCTTCAAAGCTATAGTACTCTTTCTCATCTCGTGGCTTTTGCAGACTACTCCTTTGTCTAGATTCTTCCTTTCTCTTCTACCTAGCTCCAGTTTCTTCTGCAGGTCTCAGCCTAAAGTGCTTATTTCTCTGCTAAGTCCTTTCTTTCGTTATGTGCTCCTGCCGTATGTTCTCCAAAATCCTGACCTGCCTTTATCATAACACTTACTGTGCTTTTTAAATTGTTACCCTTGCTGGCCCTACCTCTCTCGCTTTCCCTGCCAAGTAGACCTTGAATCCCTTTGTGGGTATCTGTCTTATTCACTGTTGTAGTTCAGTATCTAACATGGTGCATCTAATGTAGTAGGTACCCAATAAATAGTGGTTCAAAGAGGAAAGGAAGGATTTTCCTTTTTTGTTTTTGTTGTTTTTAAAATATTATAAACAATCAACAGTCCTATGCTTGGCATTTTTTAAATATTTCCAGTTGTTGCTATTAATAAAGTCTTAGAAATGGGATTGTTTTTTAATGATATATACAATAGTTTAGTATTTATGATTACGGGCTATGGAGTAAGGTAGACCTGGGTTTGAATCCTGTTTATACCACTTCCCTGCTATGTGATCTTAAACAATTGCCTTATTTCTAAAAATCTATAAAATTAGAATAATAATAGCATCCCTGAGGTTCTTATAAGGATTAAATGAGATACTACATAGAAAGTATTTAACAGAACTGGCTTTTGGTAAGATTTCAGTACATTTTAGCTTTTATTCTTATTGTGATGTACGCCTAATATTTTTTTAAATATGCAAAAAAATTTTCCATAGTTGGATTACGTGTATTTTTCTTTATGGTTTCTGTCATTGTGTCGGTATTTTTATAATTTTTGAGTAGGAAAGTTCTTTATTAAAATTTTTAAAATTTATTAACAATAAAGGACTTTTCTACTTAAAAATTATACAAATACTGTTTTGAGTTTTCTTCTGGTACTTTTAAAGTTGTTTTTATTTGTTTAAATTTATACCTACCTGGACTTTATATACCTCTAATATATAACTTATTTTCAAGCAAATTAGAATTATGATGTGACTATTTCCAATTAGAAAGGTTATTAAAGTTGTTAAAAATATATGTACATTTCAAACTGCCTTTCCCAGAGTTAAGAACTGTAAAAAAACTTTTTAAAACAGATATTGTCGGCAAGTACTTTGTGAAACTGTTCGGACTGCCAAACTGACCCCAGTTTCTGCCCGCCTTCAAGATGTTGAAGGAAAGATTGACAAATTTATTATTCCTAGAGAGGTAGGAAACATTCGGTATACTTAACTCATTCAATTATTCTTTTCGACTCTTTTAGCGTGTGGTTTTGAATTGTATTGTCTAAAATGTCTAATAAATGATACCTATTATTAAATCAAAGACATAGTTATTTTAAATGAGAATAATATATGCTGTTTTAGGGTATAAGCAATATAAAAGAAAGGCTCCCTTCCTCGCATGTACTACTGTTAATACTTTACTGTGTATTTTTATAGGTCTTTTTCTATGTATATATATTACTCTGTATGTGTATATACACATGTGTATTTTAAAAACTGAATTTATATGTGAAAAGTTGCTGTTCATATATCATTCATTAATTTGCTTTTTTCATTAGGTGTGGTTATTACTTATTAGTACAACTAGTACTTGATACAGATCCAACTCATTTTTTTTTTCAACTCATTATTTTTAATGGATAGATAGTATTCCATCGCATGAGTGTGTTACAGTTTATTTAAGCAGTCTCCATTGATGGAAATTTAGATTACATTAATTTTTTTGTTATTACAAATTATATACTTGTATAGGTATTGAGTAGAGCCTTAGAAATAGAGTTTTGGGGTCAAAGTGCTATTTATGTTAAATTTAAATTGCCCTCTAAGAGGCAATTTATATTTTCAGCGACAGTGTATGAGAATGCTATTTCTCTCCATATTCTCACTACTTCTGGATTTATGATTTTTATATATATTTCTTATATGAAATACTGTCTCATTATTTTAATTTGCTTTTCCCTGATCATTGGAGAGATTGAGCAGCTTTTCGTACATATTTATCAGTTTGTATTTCTTCTTTTGTGAATTATGTGCTTGTAACTCACTTCTTTCTAGTGAGCTTATACGTCTTTTTGTATATTGTACATACTAACGGTCAGTTATATGGAAAACATATTTTTCCTATTATTTATCTTTTACTGGTGATTTTGGTGTGTTTTGTTTTTACTGGATGCAGGTTTTAAATTTTCATAGTTAAGTCTGTTATTCCTTTATGACTGCCAGATTTTGACATGCTTAGGGAGGCCTTCTCCGCTGTAAAATCATCAAAATAATGACCTGTGTATTATTATTTCCTGTTTTTATTTTATTCTCATCTATATTAAAAGAGCATTTAGGATGAGTTGGCTTTTTGGCAGTCATTTTGTCTCTGTTAGGCGTTGACTAACTAGAGTAATTTTTTTGCAGACCCTTGTTCTTTATGCTCTTGGTGTGGTACTTCAGGATTCCAGTACTTGGCCATCACCACACAAGTATGAAATATCTATCTTTATCTTTGTGATTATTGATTTGTATGTGTTTGTGTGTTTTGCATTCCTTTTCTAAGTTTTGAGGAGAAAATTTAATATGTGACAATGATATAAGCAAGCCACTGCCTTCTCTTTGGTATCTTCTGTTCACTACTCTTTCTTTCATGAATCTGCTATCTGCTACTCTTTGTCTCTTCTATTATCACTTCTATCCTAAGATCTATTTAATCTCTACAACTGTTCTTTAATTTCAATAGAATTTTGGAATTCTTTTGTTGGTAATTGGGTTTTCTTTTGGAATTTCTTTGTTTTCCTGCCGTTGGTCTTGATTATTAATCTCTTTAGTCAAATTCAGAAAGTATATGTTGTCTCTATATGTGTTATATGTGAGAATGGCAGGGGAAGGAAAAGGTGAAGAACAAAGCTGCTACTGTTTGCCTAGAAGATAGGCATCAAGTAAAATTTACCTTAAAGAAATAGGTTCAGATTTATTGCCCTGGTAGAAGGTTATATATTGAGTTGATTGGGGTTAAGACAGGTGTGTAGGGGTGCCTGGCTGGCTCAGTCACTGGAACATGCAGCTCTTGATCTTGGGGTTGTAGGTTTGAGCCGCACATTGGGTGTTGAATTTACTTAAAAATAAAATCTTTAAAAAAGATACAGCTGTGTGAAGTGCAGTGGGACACGGTTGGTGGCATGGTTGAAGTATTTGTACCTATTTCTGGAGTATAATGAGGGGTTTATTAAGTGTTCTTATCATTTCAGTTTTTAATATTATAATGATATTAAAAGAAATCTATTAATAAATGAAATAGCAATCCTTCAAAATTTGCTATAAGTAAAAAGTAAATTTTATATTTCAGATGACTTATAACAAAATAGAAGATATACATTGGTAGAAAAATTTATGCTTATAATTTAAAAAAACTAATATTTCCAATTTTAAAATTGTTAAAAAAATTAGCATGTGGAAAATGCCAAATTTTTGATAAATTTGAAATGTAATGTGAAAAATATAAGAAATTTGCTGGAACTTTTGACACTGTTCCTTCCCTCAAAACAGAGAATCTAGGTTACAAATTGAAAATATTAAAAAAATATATATGCTGGGCACCTGGGTGGCTCAGTTGGTTAAGCGACTGCCTTCGGCTCAGGTCATGATCCTGGAGTCCCAGGATCGAGTCCCGCATCGGGCTCCCTGCTTGGC